TCACATTCAAAGTTTACTAAGTCATTTAGCAAAAGCTACTTACGCAATTAGACAGCTAAAATTTCAATTAGACATTGTACATTTAAAAATGGTCTACTTTTCATTATTTCATAGCATTATGACGTATGGGGTTATACTTTGGGGAAATACAAGCAACCAACTTAGGGTATTTATTGCACAAAAAAAAGTAGTATGTATCATGACATCGAGTAGCTACAACAGTCATTGCCAACCTATTTTTAAACAGTTGGGTATTTTACCACTACCATGTTGTTTTATTTTAGAGTGTCTTTTATACATGAAAAAACGAATTGGTAATAATAATGTTATAAGACAGAGCTCTAAACATTCTTATTGCACCAGAAGAAATTATAATATATCTTTACCTAATTACAGATTAATCAAACTTCATGATTCTTATAGAAATATCAGCATTAAACTGTACAATTCCCTACCTCAAGCTTATAAAAACTCATCTTTTAATTTATTTAAAATAAGAATTCGCAAATTTTGTTGAGTCACTGATTTTATTCCATTGACGAATTCTTGTCACATGTGTCCATCTGTGCAGGTGAGTAATGTGTAAACCTTTTTGGTGAATATACCTTTTTCATTTTTATCTTTTTTTTTTTTAAGTATGTTTAATATGTTATGTGTATCGATATATTTTTTTTGTCTATATTTTTCTAAATTGTAGCTGTATTTTCTGTATCTATACCTATACTCAAACAAATAATGATTGAGAGTGAAAGCAGGTAGAAATACGACCAAATCGGAGACGGAGAGGGTACAATTATTTAAAATATTCATACAATTTCTTTTATTTATTTCATGAAAACTTTGCAATATCGCAATTTACCTAATCGTTGTAGTCATTAGTGGGGCTTTATGAAAACGGAGTAATAATTGTGGTAATTATAGTAGGAACCAAATAAATTAAGAATATTAATAAAAATCACAATATATATTTCAAATTAAAAATAAGAAAGATACCTAATCAGGGGTTGGTTTGGTGACAGAAACAATATTATCAATTTTACTATTTTAATAATGAATTTAACTTTATTTCACAAATTAACGTATATTTATATATTATGTCGCGGCCGAAGTCAGTAAGGAACTGTCTCTTAAGTTTCTTCTTGGGTTACACATACAGAAGTATTACTTAAATTTTAAATTAAAATCATAATGACGGATATTGCATATCCAATGCAATTGATATTTTTATTTTGTTTTGTTTAGTTATTTTTAAATTTTTATATTTTTTAATCTTTTTATATTATATTTAGTTTTTAATTTACTTCGCTTTGTCTATAAAATTTTTGTAATTATTCAATGACAATAAAGCATACCTCTATATCTCTCTCTCTCTTTCTCTCTCTCTCTCTCTCGGTTTACCTGCAGTTCCTCGAAACTAGCCAGCCTTACCCAAGAAACCCTAATTGGGTTCGGCCAACATTAAAAGACATTATAAAGCTTAAATTACTATTTGATTGGTACTTAAATCATAAAAGTTTACACGCACCTATCATTTCGGAAATCCCTAGAAATCCCTAAGTAAGATAATTAGTTTGGATATAACCTACAGGATTATGTTTTCTTGACCGCCAAACATAATAATAATGTTTATTTCAAATTTATGTAACAATGTACAAATTGATACAATAATAATAATTAAATAAATAAACATTCATGATCGCTAACTGCCTCCAGAACTTTTTGCAAAGTGGGCAGCTCATTTCTGAAAAAGAAACTGTGAATAGTTGTGCGTATACTGTTTTTGGCTTCTTCATCAACTGTGATTTTTTTTCTTCCGCTACTAGTTTTTGGCGTTTGTACTTCCCCATGAATTTTGTTTTCTCTTAGTATTTTGTAAACTGATGATTTTGGTACACCCGTATAATCAGAGAACATATCAACTAATTTATCTTTTGTAATTGTGGAAGTTAATGATGTTCTAACGCCCGGTTGGTTATTCGGAGGTACATCCGTAGAATTACAGCACATATGCACTAAGTTATCTTTTGGTCGCTGATGATCTCTTTCAAGACAGTGAAATACTCGAAGTACAATTTGTTTTTCACTTAGCGACCGAGACTTCGACCGTTTTACCTTTTTCGACGTTGAAGGCCCTTCAATGTCTTCCATTTTTTGCATAGTTTTAGAACGGTGTAGAAATATTATTATTTAATGTTTAAACACTTATTAGCACTAATATTTTCACCAATTGTTCTTACAACACGTCGATTACTTACTAACTTAACTGTAAAACTTACAATTCACACCGTATAATTCAAAACCCGATGTTACGCTCGTGGTTAGAAATACACTACTGAGAACGTCATCGACGAGATGGATTTTACGCGTAACAGACAAAGACACAAATATCGCTCCGTACACCGATGCCATTAGTTGTAACAAATACTGAACAATCCATAAAATAATTAATTTTAAATGATCAAGAAATGTATAAGTATTACTCATTACTGATTTTTGTTATAATTAATATCTTTTATTAGTACTATGATTGTATATTATCTATAATTTGCCACAACTTACAACTCTACTACTTACTCTATTTTGATTCTGCTAAAAACTAGTAAGGTAAAATTGAGATATGACAACACGGTTCACTCTCAATCATTATTTGTTTGAGTTTATATATATCTTTTTTTTGTACTTTTAACATTGACACATGTAAACTATTTATTTTTATTTTACATCAATAAATATCTATCTATCAATAACGTGGCAACTATGCATTTCATCATCATGGGATTTAGGTTTTTGTTTAGTTATTACTGTGACAAGTGTCCCTATGGCAACAGTTTATCTGTAACTGATTTCAGCTAAACTAAATTGAAATTAAATCTCATCTATAATTTAGCAACTATGCATTTCCTTACCACGGGATTTGGGTGTTTATTTATTTGTTACCATGAAAAGTATCCGTCAGAATTTCCTTACCACGAGATTTGGGTTTTTATTTAGTTGTCACCATGATAAGTATACATATGGCCACAGTTTCTCTGATTTCAGCTAAAGTGAAATTAAATCATCTATAACTTGGCAACTACGCATTTTCTGCGTTTTTGTTTACCGGTTACTATGGAAATGGTTGCCATCGAAACAGTTTCTATGTAACTGATTTCAGCTAAACAAAAGTTGGACCTTTAAAAATAAAATAGGAAATCAAATTTTATGGGGTCAAATAGTTACTTACAGGAGGTGTCCTTTAAAAAATGATAAAAACTATTGAATCGATTTGTATTAAATTTTTTATGTGCCATCAGACGTAGGTTCTAATTGTCTCAATATCATTAGTTTTAAATATTTTAATAGAGGGCACCTAAATGATTATCACATTTTTCAAGATTCTAAATCACAATTCATTTCTTTGTTACGGTTTTAAAATTTTATATCTTTTACTATTATTACTATAATTTGTTTGGAGAGTAATATAGATATTTGAAACCATAACACACCCTTCCTTCCCTGATAAAGTAGTTTGTGCAACAAGTGTGGATATGGACAATCCACTAGAGTTGTACAGTATATTTTTCTATAACCCACTAACGAAAATCTACAAATTTTAAAAATTATTTTAGGTTATTAAGATGAAATAACCGACTTAAAAATAATTTATGATTTTTACTAATTTATAAAATAAAAAATAAAATCCTAGATTTGAACCCTGGCCTTTCGGCATGAGAGGCAAGTGCCTTTATCTCATCACCATCAAGGCGTTTGACATTTTTGCTCTAATACTCATAATTAAATTGACTTTATATAGTTTTATTAAAATTAGCGAAATATTTATAATTATAGATGAAATCAAAATATAAATGGTATTATTTATTGACACAATAATAATTCATTTTAATGTATATATATAATCTCAATAATTAAAAAATATACTAACAATTAGTTTGACAGAGTTGTCACTTTAAAATTTTAAAAATAACAGTAGTCGGGTGACCAAAATATGAATTGTGACTGATGGATGTCATTTTTTTGCAGTGTTCTTACTACCTAGAATGGATATGAAATATATTCATTTAGTTGAACACAGTAGCATACTTTTTCGTTTTGTAATCTGTGCGTAGATAAGCTAATATCCATGTGGGTGTAGAAAAAATATATTAATTTTCATTTTTGTACTATTAAATGTTTTATTTGCATAAGAGGTTCATTTTTCTCACTTGTTTTGTGAGTAATATTGGTATTACATTTTAAAACTGTAACATCTAAGCAAAATATGTCCTTTTTTGCTACGAAGCATTGTTTTTTGAGAAAGAAGGAAATTAATCCATCTCTTGCAATGCCCTTATTTTCTAAAAACGTACTTAAACTCTCCTTAAACATAAAATAAACTCATTCCTTAACCCTATATATACTTGATAATCTTATTTACCCCCAGTGCATCGTAGTTAAATATTAAATTTCTTTGATTTTATTTAAAAAAATTTAACTAGAAACCTTTAAAATACGGCATACAATTTAAATCTGCTTGGTTAATTACTTTTTTCTCTAAAAAAAACTGTGCCCTCTAGCGAAAAAAGAATAAATGCCTTTTTTGTTTAGTAATGAAAAAATACGGATAGTCTTACACTGAATCGGCTTACAAAAAACTGATTTCTATTAATATAAAAATAATTAATTATTAAAGAAAGTAATGCAATATATTACTGATAAGTTTTACTATCACGTTATATATTGGACAATAACTTTAACTGAAGATGGTCCTGAGCAAACTGAAAAATATTCTATACATAATTTACTGTTTTTTTAATTTACTTTTTATTTAACAACTAAGGTGCATATTGTGGAACCCAAAAACAAAACATGTATTTTACTTAATATCAAGGATATAGGTATTGCAAAAAAAATTCATCTTAAATAAGAGCTTTAAATATTTTCTATGTCTGCCAAAGTTATATATTGAACAATAAAGAAGTTATTCAGTTTTTATTAAATCACTTTTATTTTGCCTTTTCTAGAAAAGTCTCCCACTTCTCCGGCATTCCTTAGCCACGCAGGAGCTCAGCATAGATGGTATCCGTCCCCCGCCAGCCAACGTAGTCTACTCGATAGCGGGGGCCACCCCGACCGTTCAGTCTGTCAGGCCGGCCATACAGCCCAATCAGGTGCGAATAGTCGCGCCAGGTACGACCGTCGTGCGACCGGGGCAAGTGATACAGCAGCGTCTTGTGGCGCCCATTAGGGCTCCCGTCCAACAAACAAGAATGGTTACTTCCATCAGACAACCTACGATAGCCAACAATGTAATTGTGTCGAGTTCTCAGCCGCCAGCGCTGCATCCCGTCTATCCCAACGGGCAGCAGCAGGTTAGGACTGGGATCATTCGGCAACCTGTACAAGTAAGTAAACATAATAATTAGTCTTGTAGAATTCAGAAATTGTGTCAGTGAAGAATGTCTCCAAACCACCTACCCTTCATACCACCCTTCCTTTCTTGATAAATTACTGTTCTTAAGTTTCTGGCTATTCTTTTAGTCATCAATACTAGCAATTTCCTTTTATCATTTTTATTTCAATATAAAAATATATTTTCATTGCAAATATGTTTTGTAGAACAAAAAGAAATGATCTTTTCAAATCTTATGTTCATTTCAACTTCTTTTACTTCTATATTTATTTCTTCTCTATTTTTAAACATCCTTCTTTGTATTGTATATTTGTTTATTCTTAGTTTCTTTTATCATTTTACTTTTGTTTTCCTAAAATAAATACTTCTTTATCCTTTCATTTTATTTTTTCTTCAATTTGTAATTCTATAATTTCTACAATTTGTAATTCTATAATTTCTTCTACTTTCTTAATTATTTCTTCTTTTGTTTACCATTTTTCTTAATCTTCTTGCTCTTTTGAATTTGATTTAAAATTGTATCCTCTTCTTTCATGATCAACTTCTTAAGGTTCTATCTATTCTTACATTTCCTTTTATCATTTTCATCTCAGCAGAACATTTTATTAATTGAAAGTTCATCTTAAAAAAAGATATTGATATGCAATCAAAAAAAAAAAAAATGGTCTTTTCGTTTTTTATGTTCATTTTAACTTCTTTTACTTCTATTTTTATTTATTTTTAAACATCCTTTGTGTTGTATATTTGTTTGTTCTTTATTTGTTTCTATTTGTTCTATTTACCTTTATTTTCCTTACATTCTCGTTTCATTTTATTTGTTTCTTCAACATTTGGTTCTATAATTTCTTCTACTTTCTTAATTATTTATTATTTCTCTTTTATTTTTCATTTACCTACATGTTGCTCTTTTTAATCTATTTTCAATTAAGTATACCAATCATTTCTTTTGTATTTTCTCTGTTTTATTTTAATTTATCTATTTTCTTCATACATTCTTCCTTATCTTGTTGTCTCCCTTTCCACATTTGTAACAGCATCCTCACTATTAGATCAGCTCTTTCTCCCTCCCTATCTCTTTTTCTATTATACAGTTCTATATTTTTCTTCCATTATTGTCTCATTTTGTTTTTCTTCAGTAACATCTTCTAAATCTTACTGTTTCATATTATCTCCTTGTTCTATGCTCTCATCATCTCTCTCCTGTTCTTCCATCAAACCAACCTTCTTTCTTTCTCGCAGGTCCATCTAATATATCTTTGTATATTTCATCTACACAAATTTTCACATTATGCTTGTCTATATTCTTCTTTTTAATTTAATCCTCTGATTTCAATTTCTCAAATATGGCAAATTTAGATTTTTTTATTTAAATAACCTTCCGAATTTTATATATACTCTGTTCTTATATACTTTTCTCTAAATAAATTAATTTAACTATGGTTAAAAGGTCTTATCAAAATTAATTTGTCCAAACTCCTCCTTTTAGATTGCCACAAATTTGTCTGCCCTATTTTTCGTTATCAGCCCCACGTTGGGCGCCAAATAAAGATATTCCAATTGAAAAGTTAAAAAAAAAATATTTCCTGCTCTGCTCCTCTCCTTGATTGTGCTTTCTCACTTTTTTTATACGGTCTGTGTTTTCGCTACTACTTTTCAGTATTGGTTCTCTCCTAGCTGCTTTTTCTCTAAAGCAATAAAACTGTCCTAAATATCAAACCATTTGTCAGACGTTGACTGTCAAATCCCATCCAAATGATTTTTAGCAGTTGTCATTCATCGAACATCTATTATCAATTTACCAGATTCTGAAATGTTTGGTGTATCATTATTTAGATTATACCAGTTTTTAATGTTGAAATCATTACCAGGTCAGGACGCTGGCTCCCGGAGGTCAATTAAGACCGCAAATGCCAATCAGATCCGCAACGCCCCTCCAAAAGCAGACCGGTGCCATCAAACAGCTGGGGTCGAAACCGTCAGTGCCTTCCACAATCAAACCGTTAGCCAAAGAAAAAGAAAAGAAGACGTTCTCCTCAGCGTATACGGGAGACGACGATATCAATGACGTTGCCGCCATGGGAGGCGTCAATCTTATGGAGGAAACGCAAAAAATTCTCGGTTCTACGGAATTCGTGGGTACCCAGATACGGTCCTGTAAAGAAGAGGTAAGTTTTGGAGAAATGTGTCAAATATAATCGGTCTTGTATCAAACGTCAGGTTTATATCGGACGTCAAATGTCATGCTTTAAACTTTAACTGACATGTATTTAGAAAAAGCAAACGTCTTACTTAAATCGCCATATTTTAAAAATCTTGCTTAGTTATTCATTTGAAAAAGGAATTACGAAAAAGAAGAATAAAAAAGAAAACGAAAAACTATGGCAATGTTAAAAAATATTTGATTGCGTTTAGAATATGAATATAAAACTTTAAAAATAATAATAAATTTGTATAATTTTCCAAAAAGAGAACTACGAAAAAAGAGAAGAGCAAAAAAAGAAGCGATGGCAATGTTAAAAAATTAATTTTTACATTTAGGATATGAATATAAAAAAAAATTAATTTGCATGATCTTAAAAGTTTTTAAAGAATTTTGAACCAAAAATAGTTCTAGGTTTCACAATTTTCTTGTTAATCTATATCAATTCATGATTTTGTATTTTTACATAAAGAACATATTTAAAAACCATACTTTCATCAAAATTGAAATATTTCAGTTTTTTGAGATGTTCTTTTAAAAAATTAAGAAATATTCAAAAATTTTCATTTAGATCCAAAATATTTTTTATTGAATGTCAATTTTAATGTATTGGACATGAAAGTTTATTTATTAGACATTAACTTTCATGTGTCAGATGTCAATTTTCAAGTAAGACGTCAACGTTAATGTGTCAGACGTAAACTTTTGTCATATGTTCATATATTGTGTCGATCAATTAGCATTTTTTTAAATGATTGTTCTCGAGATGCTCTTTTAAAAAGTTAAAAATTTTGATATATCAAACATCAACGTTTATATGTTAGACATCACATCACATGTCAGACGTCAACTTTCATTTGTCAGATGTTAACTTTCATGTCAGACATCAACTTTCATTGTTGCCTTTTTAAAAATATTAGAATTTTTTAAATGATTGTTTTTTCAAGTTCTCGAGATGTTCTTTTAAAATTTGAAAAAAAATTCGAAAAGTTTCATTTAGATCCAAAATATTTGCATTTATTTTCAGTATTTTTCAACATTTTATATTGGATTTCAATTTTGATATATTAGACATCAAAGTTCATATGTTAGACATTAACTTTTTGTGTCAGATGTCAACTTTCATGTCGGACGTCAACTTTTATGTGGCAGACATCAACTTTCATGTCATATAGTCTCGATCATTTTAAAATTGTTAAAATTTGTAAAATGATGTTTTTTTCAAGGTCTCGAGATGCTCTTTTTAAAATTTTAGGTAATATTCAAAAAGTTTAATAAATATTTGCTTTTATTTTGATATATCAGACATTAGCGTATATGTTTAGTCATTAACTTTCATGTGTCAGATATAACTTTCATGTCGGACGTCAACTTTAATGTCAGACGTCAACTTTCGTGTGTCAGACGTCAACTTTAATGTCATATTATATCTCGATCATAATTTCCATTTTAAAATGATGGTTTTTTCAAGGTTTTATGTTCGATGCCGCCATTACAACACAGGATACGTCAGGTGATGGCGAAACACGGTTTGGAAGAGCCCGGTAACGACGTAGCGGCGTGCATATCGCATGCGGCGCAAGAAAGGCTTAGGGATCTCATTGAAAAATTGTCAGTAATAACCGAACACAGGTTGGACAATATCAAATTTAATATGAAATACGAAGTTACTAGCGATATTAAAGGTAAATTGATTTTCAAAACAAAATATGGGTGATAGTGTCAATTTGTAGAAAAGGGGACAATTTTTGGATTAAAAACAGGAATAATTTTGTATGGTTAACGCTGAGCCGTCATTTTCTTTTAGGTCAATTAAAGTTTCTGGAAGACCTCGATAAGGCCGAACGGAAACGACACGAAGAGATGGAGCGCGAGGTGTTGCTGAGGGCGGCGAAGAGTCGATCGAGAACGGAGGATCCGGAACAGGCGAAGCTGAAGGCGAAAGCGAAAGAGATGCAGCGGGTGGAGATGGAGGAATTGAGGCAGAGGGAAGCGAACGCGACGGCGTTGCAGGCCATCGGACCCAGGAAAAAGCCCAGATTGGACGGCGAGGTGTCGAATACATCACAGGTTTGTATATTTCTTACAATTTATCAGATTTAATCCGAGTTCTAATCCTTAAAATATATAAAAAAGGGGAACAAATAAATAAGAATAAGAAAAAAATAGAATAAATTGGAAAAATATGAAAAAAAAAAAAAAAAAACGAAAGAATATGAAAAATGGCTGAAAGACATAGAAGTCAATAATCCCGACACAAACATAATCAGATTTAACAAAAAAAATTGACCCATTAATATTACGAGGCCTGCCTCAGTGAAAATAGCTCAACTAACAAGCCTATAATTATATTTTTAATAAAACTTGTCATGATATCGTAAAATTCTGTCTGGTTCTCTCTCTAATGACTCTAAAGAGAACAAAAATATATGTTCAAAAATAGTTTGCTTTGTTGTGATATAAATTGAAAAATTTAATTTTTTGAGTGGTTGGGCCAACTTAACTGAGACAGGGCTCATATATTATACATATTACATATATTATACAAATGGGGTGATTCATTTTGAAACGGATATACAGTAACCTTTTATCACAGGGGTATAACACTTAAACTAATTACCGATACAAAAAATGTAAACGATGCATCTTTAAGTAGGCCAATGACTGAGAGGGCCATAAATAATTTTAGATCTGAATTAAAAAAAGTTAAGTTGGGATTTAAATAAATTTAATGAGAATGACCAAGCTAATATTATTGACGTTTTATCTAAACTGTGCCTGCAATGTTTTCCTGAAAAGGAGGTGATCAAAAGTAAAAATAATTTAGCAAACACTCAAAATGTAAGTTACATTAAGTCAAGATGCTACTCAAGTAATATTCAATTCTATGAAGTCACCGGAAAGCTTCGAATTATTATTGTTAAAAAAAAAAGAATACCGTAATATTGTTGATAAGGAAACGGTACTTTTGAACAATAAAAAAATATTTGAGTCTGATAATAAACAAAAAACAGCTTGGCAAATAATTAACACCAACTTGGGCAGAAATAAATCTTCTAAAACCAATGTGTCTGTCAATGATTTTGCAGATTTCTTTCAAAGTGTAATTTACGATTTAGTTGAAAATTGCAAGCAGTCTACTAATGTTAACAGCTTTATTAAAAATTTTCTTTTGATCATTTATCAATATTTTTGAACCCCACAGATACAACAAACGTCCATCAAATTATCAACGATTTAAAAAATTCTAAAGCTAGGGATATTTATGGATTGAGTGCAGTTTTGTTGAAATCAGTTGTTGATATTTTAGACACTCCTAACCTAATTAATTTGTGCATGAAATCTGGAGTTTTTCCAGATACATTTAAAGTATCACGAGGTACCCCTGTTTTCTCTCGGATAAATGAATCTACCATCTGCTTACAGACCTATCTCAATTATACATACCAATAGTAAGCAAAATTTTTGAAATAGTGTTAAAACAACGAATTATGAATTTTTTGAAAGCAACAAGTTGCTAAGCCAAAATCAATTCGGTTACAGGGCAAACAAATCAACAATTAACGCAATATGTGATTTCTATGAAGCTGTTACAAATGGTTTTGAGGATCGTTCACATAGTACCGCCAGATTTTACGATCTTACGAGAGCGTTCGATACGGTTCAACATGACATTTCATTATTAAAATTAGAGAGATATGGAGTTAGAGGAACACCATTACAGCTTATTACCTCTTATTTGCAAAAAAGAACTCAATATTTTCAATTTGATGGGCAAGAATTCAGTACTGTATGGAGTTCCACAGGGTTCTGTACTCGGACCCCTTACTTTTTATCATTTACTTTAATGATTTGTCAATTAATCTAAGTAATACAGGTGTATTATGCTGATGATTCAACATATATTGCTACAGATAAAAATAAATCTGATGCAATAGAAAGGCTAAATGAAGCAGAAGTTATGTCAAATAATTGGTTTGGTAGCAATGGTCTTACATTAAATGAAGCAAAAACTCAGCAAATGTTATTTTCTATCATTGGTAAAAGTGAGGAACAGGTTAAACGTTTAGGAATATATTTAGACCCAAAACTAGATTTTAAATATCACATTCAAAGTTTACTAAGTCGTTTAGCAAAAGCTACTTATGCAATTAGACATTGTACATTAAAAAATGGTCTACTTTTTATTATTTCATAGAATGATGACATATGGGGTATACTTTGGGGAAATACAAGCAACCAACTTAGGGTATTTATTGCACAAATAAAAGTAGTGCGTATCATGACATCCAGTAGCTACAATAGTCACTGCCAACCTATTTTTAAACAGTTGGGTATTTTACCACTACCATGTTGTTTTATTTTAGAGTTTTTTTTTATACATGAAAAAACAAATTGGTAATAATAATGTTATAAAACAGCTCTTCACATTCTATTGCACCAGAGGAAATTAAGATATATCAGCATTAAACTGTACAATTCCCTACCTTAAGCTTATAAAAACTCATCTTTTAATTTATTTAAAATAAGAATTCGCAAATTTTTGTCGAGTCACTGTTTTTATCCCATTGACGAATTCTTATCACATGTGTCCATCTGTGCATGTGAGTAATGTGTAAACCTTTTTGGTGAATAACCGTTTTCATTTTTATCTTTTAAGTATGTTTTAATATGTTATGTGTATATATATTTTTTTGTCTATATTTTTCTAAATTGTAACTGTATTTTTCTAAATTGTAACTGTATTTTCTGTATCTATACCTATATATCTTTTTTTTATACTTTTAACATTGACACGTAAAATATTTATTTTTTATTTTACATCAATAAATATCTATAATCTCTGTATATCGAGTTAGATAGCCCAAATTGAACATTGTGATTGGCTAAAAATCGTATTAAGAAAATAATCATTATTAGTTGAAATATTAATTTTTTTTTTTTTTTTTAATTATTTTGTGGAAACATTTGGTTGATTTTCATTATTGATTTTAGGCTTAAAATTTTGCTGACTGCTCACTGTTCCCTTTTTTTTTACAACAGAACTGTTGTTTATTCAGTAAAATATTACCAGTATTCAAGAATTAATAGTATTTTTAAATTTAAAGTAGCCCTTTAAACACATTTTTGAAAATCAAAATAAAGTAATAATTTTCTTTACTGCTTACATGTTATTCATATTATTCTTATTTTTTCTCGCTACGTATGTGTACTTCACTCTTTCATTGGTTATCGTTTTTCTTATGTTTTCGTACTAGTTATATTATTGGATTCAGTCTTCCTGAAGAAAATGCATGTTCATTTTGTCTACATTAGTCATTGTTAGATATTAAAATCATAGTTATATGCAGGTTAAGTGGAAGATTATTTTTGTTTATCTGTTTTATTTATTTTAAATTATTGGAAATATAGACTATTATTATATTGATGGAAATGCCATTTAAGTAAAATCGATTTAAAAATTGAAAGTGCCTATGGCAAGCTCTATACTTTGTATTAGTGTGTTGCCTTACTAATTGTTAAACCATTTCAAGTAGGTGTATAATATTTGGGAACCATATAGATTTCACCTCAAAAGACATAGAATCGATCATATCTCATTTTCGACAAAAATGGACATACAATATTTGTCCTCTGAGCCATCGAATGTCCGTTTCCCAATGAATTACCCTGTAGTGTGCACTAAAGTGTCCCACACCTGTGAGTTTTCTTATAATAATTTTTTAATTTCAGCCAAATTCTACCGGATCGGGCGGAGGCCCACGCGGCCAACTACCCATGCGGCAGCGCATGAAGAAAGTGACATTGCGCGACCTCCAGTTCCTGCTCGAGACCGAACGGGACCTCTGCAAGAGTAAGATCTTGTACAAGTCGTACCTCAAGTGATGCACGCTCCATCTCGTCAGTGTTGTGATATATCTAGGGACCTTGTGGGCCATCTCTTCTTCGAATTCGAAGGGAAAACCGTGTCGATGAGCTCTGTCGGTGCGGTGATGTTTCTTTTTTTTTTTTATAAATCAAATTCAAGGAAAAGCGGTTGATTTTCGTTTGAGGAAATTTCCAATTGCGGCTTTTTCAGTTGCTGTTCTCTTCGTGTACAAATTTGGGCAAATTTACATTACTTTTCGATAATTTTGACATTTCAGACAGTTATATGTCAAATTAAGATAATTATTTGGGAGTGACAAAATTTCATCTTTTTGTTTATAAATCATTGAAACTGATTTATTTTCATTTTCATATAATTTAATGTTTTACACAAATAACCTTGTGTGTTTTTGGCATATCTTTAAATACATTCCTAAAATATACGTTAAAAATGTACATTTTAACATTTACTACTATTTAGCACAACTTAAGAATTTCTTGTAATTTGAAGGTAATCCTAATTACATAAGAATTTTGAAGAAACGCCTAAAATACACCTAAGTTTGATTAAATCCTAAATAATTTCAAAAATTCCAATTACCAATTGCCTTTGACATGAATATTGACAGCTATAATGTCATAAATTACATCTAATTTTGCTTTTATGTACATAAATACAAATCAAAGTTCCAAAGATCATCCAACTTCTTCCTTCCATCGTCGAACTTAGACCTCTTCTATAGGGATTATAATAGTAAAGTGGTTTCTAATTAAATTGTATTCAATGCCAGGATAAAAAAATAATCGAAACCCTTTCTTCATATTCCAAATATCTTCCAATCTCTTATAGGCTTGGCCTCTTTTATAGAGATTATAATAGTAAAGCGCTTCCTAATTCATATTGTTTTCAAGAAGTAGCCATTTTGAAACACCAACAGTGTCTAACGCATAAACATCCTTTGTAACATCGAGTAGAGTAACAATTTGTCAAATGTTTGAAACGATTTGACACTGATGTACCAACTGACATTTGTAAAGTGTAAATGTTACCTATCAGGAATTGTATCAACAGTTATCAAAATTTATATAAGGCTGAGGTCAAAAAATGTCCAAAAACGCACATTTTTCCGCTTTTCCGCACAATCAAGATAATAAAAGAGCTCTTCGTACGGGTTTCCCCGACCATTATATTTGTTTTTAATTAAAAAAGAAAAAAAAAAATGAAAAATACTTCAAGACGATATCAACACTTGATTGAAATATTTTTATAGCTGTGTTATTGAAATATATATGAATATATTCGTTGTAGAGCTGGTTTCTATCGAATTTTTGGCTTATGTCGATTTTTGAACGGCCGTCGACCTTTTGCAAGTTTTACAGAATCGCGAGTCAGTCGATACACAATAATTAGATGAAAAAAATGAGTCGATGGAATACCCGAGTTGCATAAGCGGTAGGTTTTTGTCCGGAAACTGTTTTTGGAGTGGCGAAGCGAATTTTAGTGACTCATCGCGTCAACTTTGTGTCAGTTCCAGTTAAAACTGATTAAAAATGGGAATGACAATGCCCAGGTCAATAATTTACAATATCTTTTCCAAAATTCTCAAAAAAGATGTGGATAATTTATAGAAATGTACCAAATTTTATAAATTTTCAATTTTTCCTCTTACCTTTGGTGGTCTTCTCTGCTACAATTATGTTCCAGCTCCCCTCACTATATCGCGCTGCTCTCGTCCTCCAATATTTGTGATAAAATCATTTTATCTTTGTCTTTGTGTGTTTTATTAAATTCTCCAAATATCTCAAATAAAAGTTAACATTAAATATTAAAAAAAAAACAATCCATCTGACAAAACCAATTGATTCATTTACAATTTCCAAAAACACCCGACATTCTGATTTTGGTTTTTGCAGCATCCTTCAATTTTAACAATACATATTTTGTGACGTTAAACTTTCCATATCAATAAATAATATTAATTCTTGGCAATAGAGGTTGTCAAGTTATTGGTGGGGTGATCTTGATATTTGCCTTCCAGTAAGATTGACGTTTGTATGATGCTATAAAATGTGATGAAGGTAAATAATTCCTCCCTTCGGTTCTATACGGCCGTCTCTGTCTATAATTGAATTCAGAAATAATGGACAGTAATGGAATATCAGAAATGTAGAGCTGATTAAAATTAAGTATCAATAATTCAGGGGTACGATTGTTAAAAAAAAAAAAAAATTGCAAACCAATAAGAATTTTATTTTATGTCTTGGTTACATTTGAGTTGAAATTATTCTCCTTTTTTATATATGTATTTGTTTATATGGTTCTATTAACAACAAAACACTTTAATTTGAAAAAAGTTGCTATATGACACATGCCACTTTGACATGTCACATTACAAAAATTTCAGTTTGTTTAGTTACTTAGTTTTTCCATTGTTTACAAAATCACACAAGATATTTAGTTTGTTGTACTGTCAAAAGTAGCCTAATTGACAGATCGCTCTGTATTGTCTCATATTTATACTATTAAAAGATGATTCTACAGAATAGTAAAAAGATTCCTCCGAATTCGCGACTGTAAATATCGTATCGTACACTTTTAGTCATCATTCATTTCCTGAAATGATTTACACCAGAAGATAGCACTTAACGAGGCGTTTTAGCCACTAATTTTGGCGAATTTTAAAAAATAATTAACAAAACAATAAGAGCTTAAATTTATGGATTATATTAAGAATAGTGCTGTTAAGGAATGCATTTATTTTTATCATCATATTTCAAAATTTAAAGCCCTTTGATTTTTTTTTCTCTGGAACTGGAAGGCATTAAAACTTTAAAATATATGCATATTCTAGATATTAGTGCCTAATTTATTTTGCCAAAATTTTAATTTTATAAAAAAATACTTCTTGAGATATCTCTGTTTGAAAATTATAAGGGGGTGCTGTAATCACCTTAAGCATCATTATCAAGTTTTGCCACTACAAAAATGTATCGGACAAAAATAGATCCCGCGTACAGCCAGAGGTACTACAATCAGACAAATGAAATAAAAAATTGTTTTGTATCAAAACAGAAGGAGTTCAAGTGATCGTTTGCAAGCCTTCACAATAATAGCTTCGTATTTTCTTACTTATTGGTACTGAATTAAAAACAAAACGAAATAAAAATTGAAAAAAAAAATGTTGAGGTTAGGATCGGTTCTGTTATGTAATCAAATGGGTGCTGGTCGCTGTACGGGGCGTTGTTTTCGTCGTTGCCCAAATAAGTTTGTTTTTTTTTGTTTCGTTCCATTTAGGAACTAGTGTTGAATTAAAATTATTATGTTTGACAGCTATTTTATTGTTTCTATTTATTTCATTTTTTGACAATTGATATATCCCAGATTTTTTATATCTCAGTTATGCCACTGTTTTGGTTGTACTGTTTAAACTATTTTCTACTTTAATTATTTTATTGGCAGGTTCTAAATTCTTTTCACTGTCAAAAAACTGTCAATTCTATCTTAGACCATTTATCCAGTTTAATATTTTGATATACATTAAATTTGTAAAATAAAATAGTTTGAACACATTCAACAAAACATTTTGTTTACTGGTTCGAAAGGTGAGCGCTTAACTACCTGAGCCATGAAAGTTTATATCAGGTTAATTAACTAAACAAATTATATATAAATAAAATTGGGACATTCAATATGTTTGGTTTTTGTGCTTTGGCGATAGTGTTGCCATTTATTTTTTTATTAAAACTAAATAATCCAAATCAATTTTGAAAATAGTAGAAACGCAATTTTTATTATTAGCTGTCAAAATAAATTAGATGTAGTTGTTAGAATTAGATATATATCTAGTCAATGTTCTATATTTACTAATATCAAAAACGAAATTCAAATTTTTGATCGTATTTTTCATTTTAAACATAATATTTGAAAACAAATTATTAGATATTGGAGTGTTTCTGAAACATGGGATTTTACTTCTACGTAATATTCTTAATAATAGAGGGTGTTAAAGTTATAGTAATTTTAATGTACTTTATTATGTTTAACTTACTTTTTTTTAACAAAATTTGTATTATTGCACCAGTACCGTGCAACACTTATTTCTCTAGTGCTCTGAATGAAGCTGTATCATGTAAAAAATGTCATTTCATAAAAATACTCTAAAATGCTAAAACATATTAATTTAATACATGTATATGTGAGAAGATAGGACAGCCATAATTGCTTATTGTAGAGAATATTAAATAGAAGTTAGATGACATATTTCGGAAACACCCTGTATTTCACCCATTCCCTATAATTTTAATAAAGTCAAAATTCAATAGGAACCTTTAATAGATGTGTGAATGGAATTAGAAATTTGTTAATTAAATTTTAATTATTGAAGTTTTAAAGGTTTAACTTTATATCACAAAAGCTGGATTCTAAATTAAATTAAGGTTGTGCAAAATCGAATGAGTTTTTACCACCGATATTCTCGATGGATCAATTTATGATTTGCTCTGTTTTTTACGCAGATGTCGAAACAGCAAAAATCTTTACTGTCTGCAATTAAAGGCAACCCTAGTTATTGTTAAATAGGAGACTGTCGAGTTTAATTTTATACCAATTGTGTACTAATCAAGGGCGACTCAAACCCGAATTTTCTGAGGGGTCCATTTCCATTAGCCCTTCATTAGGTAGTTGAAGTAGTTCTACATTCAAATTGAACGTTTACAATCGTAAATTACCTTATATAAAAAATTAGTTCGTACATTTTAAATTCCACAAAATCGAAGGTGATTTCCAATTTTTTTACAATTTTTTCTAATGTATTTCAAGTTATCGAGTTATTTAATTTTTTGTAGTATCCCCAGGAAAAAGTCAAGACACAAAACTTTATTAGCAAAAACATTTATACAGTGCTGAACTAACGTCTGTACAATAAAAAAGATGTATAGCTACGCCCGTTCTAGCTCATACCTTATTACCATGAGAAATTGTTAAAGGTTTCAATTAGCAATTTTCTCACTCACAAAATCTAGTATTTGTTTTCGTAGGTTGCTAACACTGCTTTTCGCACTAGATTTTTATGTTGGCGACACTGTTTGTTACTAGATTTAGTAGGGGAAAGGTGTACAAAATGACAGGGTTTTTTACAACTTGAAAAATGTATTAAAAAATAAAAATTTTAATTTCATCATTAATTAAACATAAGCTTAACTCATACCTTAACATTACTTTGCCGTTTTTTAACAAAATAATAAAAGACATAAAATTATAAACACAGAACAGCGAAAAATTCATTTTACCCACCCATGCGGGTAAAATGACACACTTTTTTTAAGGTTTTTAATCACTAGTACAAATTTCACAAATAAAAGCTTTAGTGCACAATCAGCATGTGTCCACAGCAAGCAAGAGCGACACTGAAGCCATATTTTTCCAGGTCTGGACCTTTTGTATTGCTCTGTGCAGTAAATACATGAGCCATCATCATCTTCGTCTGAGCCAGTCTCTATTATAGGTAACTTCTTAGTTACCGTTCTCCTTTTTTTTCTGAGACCGTATTTTTTGGTCTGCTCTTCTCTTTTGCTTCCTCTAACTTGGGAGTAGAAATTAAAATGTTTGATCCTTGTCGTTTTCTGGGTTTTCTTTTTCCTTGTCCTGAAATAAATGACCCAACTGGCATTGAACTTAATTCTGCCAAACTAACACTTAAGGAGCTTTCATTTGCATTATTTTCTGAAGGGCAAATATTTCCTTTGCTTGTTCCAGGCTGTGGTTCATCAATAATAGAATTATTTTCTGAAGGTTTTGGTATGGGAATATCTTCTGTGCTTGTTTCAGGATGTGGTTCAGCAGTGACTGAAACGTGGGTCTTAATCTGCCAAGCTACTTTTTTCCAGTCTTCGTGAATTTATTTTTCTTTAATGCATGCCTCCTCAAGGTTGCTTGAGGAACACTGTAAACTTTCGACGCCCTAAGCCATCCCATGTCGCCATTGGTAACTGCTTCTACTGCCTTCAGCATTGACGTGATACTCCATAATTGCCTTTTAGTCTAGTATAGGACCGAGTCATTATAACATCTGCAACCAAAAGTAAAGGTATGCATTAATCTTCTGATGTTGGTCGGGTAAAATAACATACTCTGTCATTTTCCCCTCCTAGAACGTAGGCCATCTTCCCGATGTCGTAATTCCTACTTGTCTGTTAACGATGGTATGTCATTTTACTTAACTATGTCATTTTATACACCTTTCCCCTAACTTTTCAAAATTTAATAACTTTTTTATGGTTATGTAGTCACCGGGTCATTTGTCAAATGTCATGTCGCTAGACGATATCACCTGTCATTTATTATTTGTCATATACTAATTTAAACCCCTTGCGAAGAAAATTTTAAATGGTAATGGGTCGACTGATAGCTTATTTAAAAGGGTTTCTAATTCTCTAATAATTTTAAATTTGCTTAATTTTTTTTTACTAATTTAAATTTCCAATTTGGAGTAAACTAAAGTAAATAACTAAAAATATCAAGAAGTCAATAGATAACATTTTAGGAATGGAACTTCATATCGAAATAGTTTATTATCTCCAATTTCCACCCTCTAATTTAATAGCACTCTGCGAGTTTTTTTATCTTTAATGGCCATTTGAACGATTAATGCGATAAAAACCCTCCTTTTTAGGGCAAAATAGCCTAAAAACGTTCTATATTTGATGGTAGGTATCTCTGTATCTCTATTACTTTTGTAGGAAATCATCATTTGTTTCGATGAGAACAATTTGCTACTAGCTGTCACATTTAACTTAATTCGGGCATTTTTTGACATGTATTTTGTACATTCTTGAAACTTAATTTTTTTTCTTGTCAATTGGCAGCTCATGTATTTTGTCTTTTTATTTTAAAATCATACCATATCATTTTTTGTACATACGAATGCACGATTTTTTCGAATAAAATTAGAAAATCACGGAGTGTCAGGTCCGATGACCGAGCTGTCCATTCTACTATTCTTCTTTCAATCTAGTTGTTTGAGATCATGTTATTAAATTGAATTCTAACTTCTACAGCTATTAATATCGGGTTTATTTATCATTCGATTGTGTTCAACGCTAAGAGGTTTCTGTGATAAAGAATTTTGTTTTCCTAATTTTAAATGTTTATTCTTAAACATAAAGTATTGACCAAAAAACAAGTAATTATAAAAATAAAAATGATTTGTTGATTTGTCGTGGCAACGACGAAAACTAATTTCCGTCGGTCGAACCTGTTGTTGAAGATGACGCATCTTCCTTTTGTAAAATAAAAATAAAAAAATATGATAAAAAATATCAATAGTTTTTTCTACAATGATATGTACATAATGTAGATTTTTCTAAATAACAATTGATGATTTTTCTTTATAAGAAAATCTTTTAAAAGAAAAGGTAATGTTAAAAAAACCTTGTAATTAGTTGTATAATTGTTTTTTTTTAAACCTAAACCTATAAATATAGATATATAATTTTTGTTATAGAATAATATTTAATATAATAAAACATGAAATGAATCTAGTTTTTGTTTAACTGTATATATATCGAGTCGTATCCAACACTAAAGATTTTTTTATATTTATTTTGTAATACTGATCGTTCATGTCTATTTTATTATCATTAAATTGTTTTTAAAAAAGTTAAAATTAAGTGTTTTGTCTGTAATTTTTTTTACAGGGATCGTTCACGGTATTCGAAAAAAAAAAGAGTCAATTTTCTTGCAAATCTGCATCCGGACATCATTAATTATAGTCTGAATAAAAGAAGAGTGCAGTAAAAGTGGAGACATAACGTCACATTCGATAGATGTACTTTAATATAAATAAGGTCACATTACATGAATAGAGAAAGACATTACATTAGAGTCGCATTCTGTTGAACGAAGATAGGCGTCTCAACACGTGCCGTATTTAAAGATGAGAATCCCACTGTAGGTAATTTAAATGTATTTTTTCAAGAAACAAGTGTTGTGAAGCGATTCATTTCGTACCGTGGATATATATTAACCTTCTGTTAGAATTTCAAGCAGGAAAGAGCTGTCACTGTCAAAATAACAAACCTCTAGAAGTACAACCCTCGACTAATATAAAATTATGAATCAATTAAAATGCATACGATACGGATATAAATAAATAAAGTCTGTCTTATCTGTCAAAAGAAAAGGTTTATTACAGGAAAAACCATGGAAACATGAAACAAAATTTTCATTTTCTACAAAGAAGCATTGAAGGATGAGGTATAAATAAAATGTATACCTCTTGAACTTGCACTGCGCTCTGCAAATTAAATTACTGCACTCCTTTCTTTTCTAGACTATAATAGGTTTTTTCGATTTTTTTAAAAAATAAAAAATTGTTTAAATTTGCATACGGATAGAGGGTCACATGTAGATCTTAAAAATACACTCAGTTTTTTTCTAACAGCAATATTAAAAAAGGTATGGCCAAAATAAAAAATTTCGATATCTCCCCGCGTTTCTATTATCCTGATACAAAGTTCCGAATTCGAAAAGATCCAATTTTGTCTACAAAATTTTGGTATGAGGATAGCAGAAACGCGACAAGGTATTTGACTTATTTTTAAATGTGAATAACTACTAAACGGCTCAAGATAGAGGCAAGCAGCAAATGGCATTTTAAACTATCCGTCCGGCTCTACCATTGTGTGATTTTATGGAATAATTCGAGCATTATTAACTGAGGAATTAAGAAAAAAAAAGTTAACCCTTATAGCTAGGGAGCAACTGAGTTCACCCCTTAATTGCTCGTGCTTTCCTTTATATGTACTCCAATATTCATCAAGATCGGAGACAAAAAAAATGTTTGTCAAAAAATTTGGAAGGCTATACCCTTTCGATTTTTTAAAAAAATAAAAAATTGTTTAAATTTGCATACGGATAGAGGGTCACATGTAGATCTTAAAAATACACTCAGTTTTTTTCTAACAGCAATATTAAAAAAGTTATGGCCAAAATAAAAAATTTCGATATCTCCCCGCGTTTCTATTATCCTGATACAAAGTTCCGAATTCGAAAAGATCCAATTTTGTCTACAAAATTTTGGTATGAGGATAGCAGAAACGCGACAAGGTATTTGACTTATTTTTAAATGTGAATAACTGCTAAACGGCTCAAGATAGAGGCAAGCAGCAAAGGGCATTTTAAACTATCCGTCCGGCTCTACCTTTGTGTGATTTTATGGAATAATTCGAGCATTATTAACTGAGGAAATAAGAAAAAAAAAGTTAACCCTTATAGCTAGGGAGCAACTGAGTTCACCCCTTAATTGCTCGTGCTTTCCTTTATATGTACTCCAATTTTCATCAAGATCGGAGACAAAAAAATTTTTTGTCAAAAAATTTGGAAGGCTATACCCTTTCGATTTTTTAAAAAAATAAAAAATTGTTTAAATTTGCATACGGATAGAGGGTCACATGTAGATCTTAAAAATACACTCAGTTTTTTTCTAACAGCAATATTAAAAAAGGTATGGCCAAAATAAAAAATTTCGATATCTCCCCGCGTTTCTATTATCCTGATACAAAGTTCCGAATTCGAAAAGATCCAATTTTGTCTACAAAATTTTGGTATGAGGATAGCAGAAACGCGACAAGGTATTTGACTTATTTTTAAATGTGAATAACTTCTAAACGGCTCAAGATAGAGGCAAGCAGCAAAGGGCATTTTAAACTATCCGTCCGGCTCTACCTTTGTGTGATTTTATGGAATAATTCGAGCATTATTAACTGAGGAATTAAGAAAAAAAAAGTTAACCCTTATAGCTAGGGAGCAACTGAGTTCACCCCTTAATTGCTCGTGCTTTCCTTTATATGTACATCAATATTCATCAAGATCGGAGACAAAAAAAATGTTTGTCAAAAAATTTGGAAGGCTATACCCTTTCGATTTTTTTGAAAAAATAAAAAATTGTTCAAATTTGCATACGGATAGAGGGTCACATGTAGATCTTAAAAATACACTCAGTTTTTTTCTAACAGCAATATTAAAAAAGTTATGGCCAAAATAAAAAAATTCAATATCTCCCCGCGTTTCTAGTATCCTGATACAAAGTTCCGAATTCGAAAAGATCCAATTTTGTCTACAAAATTTTGGTATGAGGATAGCAGAAACGCGACAAGGTATTTGACTTATTTTTAAATGTGAATAACTACTAAACGGCTCAAGATAGAGGCAAGCAGCAAAGGGCATTTTAAACTATCCGTCCGGCTCTACCTTTGTGTGATTTTATGGAATAATTCGAGCATTATTAACTGAGGAATTAAGAAAAAAAAAGTTAACCCTTATAGCTAGGGAGCAACTGAGTTCACCCCTTAATTGCTCGTGCTTTCCTTTATATGTACTCCAATATTCATCAAGATCGGAGACAAAAAAAATGTTTGTCAAAAAATTTGGAAGGCTATACCCTTTCGATTTTTTAAAAAAATTAAAAATTGTTTAAATTTGCATACGGATAGAGGGTCACATGTAGATCTTAAAAATACACTCAGTTTTTTTCTAACAGCAATATTAAAAAAGGTATGGCCAAAATAAAAAATTTCGATATCTCCCCGCGTTTCTATTATCCTGATACAAAGTTCCGAATTCGAAAAGATCCAATTTTGTCTACAAAATTTTGGTATGAGGATAGCAGAAACGCGACAAGGTATTTGACTTATTTTTAAATGTGAATAACTACTAAACGGCTCAAGATAGAGGCAAGCAGCAAAGGGCATTTTAAACTATCCGTCCGGCTCTACCATTGTGTGATTTTATGGAATAATTCGAGCATTATTAACTGAGGAATTAAGAAAAAAAAAGTTAACCCTTATAGCTAGGGAGCAACTGAGTTCACCCCTTAATTGCTCGTGCTTTCCTTTATATGTACTCCAATATTCATCAAGATCGGAGACAAAAAAAATGTTTGTCAAAAAATTTGGAAGGCTATACCCTTTCGATTTTTTAAAAAAATAAAAAATTGTTTAAATTTGCATACGGATAGAGGGTCACATGTAGATCTTAAAAATACACTCAGTTTTTTTCTAACAGCAATATTAAAAAAGTTATGGCCAAAATAAAAAATTTCGATATCTCCCCGCGTTTCTATTATCCTGATACAAAGTTCCGAATTCGAAAAGATCCAATTTTGTCTACAAAATTTTGGTATGAGGATAGCAGAAACGCGACAAGGTATTTGACTTATTTTTAAATGTGAATAACTGCTAAACGGCTCAAGATAGAGGCAAGCAGCAAAGGGCATTTTAAACTATCCGTCCGGCTCTACCTTTGTGTGATTTTATGGAATAATTCGAGCATTATTAACTGAGGAATTAAGAAAAAAAAAGTTAACCCTTATAGCTAGGGAGCAACTGAGTTCACCCCTTAATTGCTCGTGCTTTCCTTTATATGTACATCAATATTCATCAAGATCGGAGACAAAAAAAATGTTTGTCAAAAAATTTGGAAGGCTATACCCTTTCGATTTTTTTGAAAAAATAAAAAATTGTTCAAATTTGCATACGGATAGAGGGTCACATGTAGATCTTAAAAATACACTCAGTTTTTTTCTAACAGCAATATTAAAAAAGTTATGGCCAAAATAAAAAAATTCAATATCTCCCCGCGTTTCTAGTATCCTGATACAAAGTTCCGAATTCGAAAAGATCCAATTTTGTCTACAAAATTTTGGTATGAGGATAGCAGAAACGCGACAAGGTATTTGACTTATTTTTAAATGTGAATAACTACTAAACGGCTCAAGATAGAGGCAAGCAGCAAAGGGCATTTTAAACTATCCGTCCGGCTCTACCTTTGTGTGATTTTATGGAATAATTCGAGCATTATTAACTGAGGAATTAAGAAAAAAAAAGTTAACCCTTATAGCTAGGGAGCAACTGAGTTCACCCCTTAATTGCTCGTGCTTTCCTTTATATGTACTCCAATATTCATCAAGATCGGAGACAAAAAAAATGTTTGTCAAAAAATTTGGAAGGCTATACCCTTTCGATTTTTTAAAAAAATTAAAAATTGTTTAAATTTGCATACGGATAGAGGGTCACATGTAGATCTTAAAAATACACTCAGTTTTTTTCTAACAGCAATATTAAAAAAGGTATGGCCAAAATAAAAAATTTCGATATCTCCCCGCGTTTCTATTATCCTGATACAAAGTTCCGAATTCGAAAAGATCCAATTTTGTCTACAAAATTTTGGTATGAGGATAGCAGAAACGCGACAAGGTATTTGACTTATTTTTAAATGTGAATAACTACTAAACGGCTCAAGATAGAGGCAAGCAGCAAAGGGCATTTTAAACTATCCGTCCGGCTCTACCATTGTGTGATTTTATGGAATAATTCGAGCATTATTAACTGAGGAATTAAGAAAAAAAAAGTTAACCCTTATAGCTAGGGAGCAACTGAGTTCACCCCTTAATTGCTCGTGCTTTCCTTTATATGTACTCCAATATTCATCAAGATCGGAGACAAAAAAAATGTTTGTCAAAAAATTTGGAAGGCTATACCCTTTCGATTTTTTAAAAAAATAAAAAATTGTTTAAATTTGCATACGGATAGAGGGTCACATGTAGATCTTAAAAATACACTCAGTTTTTTTCTAACAGCAATATTAAAAAAGTTATGGCC